TTTTATATAATATTTGTTTAAAATATTAATTAAAATTGTTTTTTATTAAGAAATTTTTGAAAAACGTTCTTGAAATATAACTGTTTAAAGTTGTTGGAAATTTGTAGCTATCTTTAATACTACAACTAACACTAGACCTAGAAAGTTTCGGGTTTAGCCGTGCATCTTCAGACTTTTTTCGCACGTTTAAGTGCAAATGAAAAAATTTTCTTATAACGTCCTTTCGGCCATAACGAACACTTTCATCGCCGCATTACTCCGTTTATTAATGTTTTACCGTAATTTTATAATGACCAGATGGATATTATTGAGCTTTGTAGTGTGTGTTGGGATCGTAGAATGGATGTTTCGCGGGTTCTATTAAAGATGCATCGATGTAGTCGGTAAATAATTGATGGCCACTCAGCATTGTACCCCCGGCGACCGTTTCATCGTGTCCCTAATCTCGTTAGCCGCTAATTCGGGCCCCTAAATTCAGTTATCGAAGTTGAACCGCGGCCGATCGTTGAGCTTGATCTCTACTGCCCGTTAACACGTTATCCGAACGAGGAGACAAAGGACACGAAAAATCGATCGCAAAACTATCCAACGTCATCGAATTAATGACTTCCACTTGCAAATTTAATAAAATTGTTTAAGTACAACAAAAGACTTGTTTCGTTTTCTCTCGAAAAGCGACGTTCCGCATAACGAAATCAAGTAAACTGGGGATCCCTGGAATTGGCGAAGAAGGGGCTTCGGGGGGTTGAGGGGCGGCCGAAAACACGGCGTAAGTGGCGCGCGGGGGACGACGCGGTGGGCGGTTGAAAAGTGGCCCGATGGCGGCGCCGCGGGGACGAGACGGAGGCGAGCGCGGGGCCCGCTTTGATCTCTCCATATCTCTTACGGATGCAAATTACATTTGGCCATAGGGCCGGGCGCGCCACCCCCCATCAAAAATATGAACTAAACGATAACTGTATTCATTATTCATACCTCGGAGCGGCCGTACCCGCCCGCCTGCGATTCGGGAGGGGGATTCCCCGGACTTTTAAGACAACCCCATACCTTTACTTACATCAACCTTTAAGAAATTCTAAAAAAAATATATAATATAAGAACGATAAAATAAAAAGTTATACAATAAACGAAAGAATGTATATAATGGATATTTGTTTTAGTGTTTGGGGATGGCTAAACGCCGAAACTAGTTAGATCAAATATTTATTAGCATTAGTTTCAAAACAGCGTCTTCATCACTACTATCTTTAGCCACTCTACAACTTGATAATGTCAACTTCAAAATCTTGAAAGAAATTTATTAAAGCCACACCAAAAAGTTTTCATACTTTTTAAGTATTTTTATACCAGGTGAGGTATATACTGAAGAAGCAGCAAATGTCGAAAAAAGCAGTAGTACATAGATCGTGGTAGGTGTTAGGTCTAGAGTGAAAGAGTTATCATGACAATTAAAAAAGAATGACGTTGAGAAATATTATCCCTTAAAATCGTCCCCAAGATCTCCAAACACAATCTCTGATCTCCCTCAATACTACAACTAACAATCTTTATTGTCATCACTCAACATAGTCTTTAATATTTCTCAACAGCCTTCCTGTTGCTAATAAGTCTAAATGAGTTTTCTGGTCCCCATGAACATTTCCATTTACCACCTTCACTTTGATATTCTTCAAGTCCACCCACTTACCTCTTTCAAAATAATCCCTCAGCTCTTACAGTATTATTTTTGTGATTTCTCAACATAGTTTTGTTTTCCATCTTCTCAATTCCTTTATTGTTAACAATATTGCTCTCTTGCACTTTTGCTCTTAGATACGTCAATATCGAGAAAAGTACAAAAATATGAAAATTTGATGAATTTGCTTTTTTATGTTATTAAAGGTAATATTCGGGAATCGGAGAATGTTATAAAGAAACTTTTAGAACAAAAGTTGTAGCAAATTTTATTGTTAACAATATTGCTCTCTTGCACTTTTGTTCTCAGATACGTCAAAATTGAGAAAAATACAAGAATATGAAGATTTGTTGTATTTGTTGCTTTTCAAGCAATCAATGGTAACACTTTGGAAATGGAGAAAGTTACAAAAAAACTTTTGGAACAAAAGTTGTAGCAAATTTTATTCTTACCAATATTGCTCTTTTTCATTTTTGCTCTTAGATGCGTCAATATTGAGAAAAATACAAAAATATAAAAATTTGTTGAATTTTTTGCGATTTCAAGGTATTCATGGTAACATTCAGGAAATGGAGTATATTACAAGAAAACTTTTGGCACGAAAGTTATAGCAAATTTTATTGTTAACAATATTGCTCTCTTGCACTTTTGCTCTTAGATGCGTCAATATCCAGAAAAGTACAAAAATATGAAAATTTGATGAATTTGATTTTTTATGCTATTAAAGGTAACATTCGGGAATCGAAGAATGTTATAAAGAAACATTTAAAACAAAAGTTGTAGCAAATTTTATTGTTAACAATATTGCTCTCTTGCACTTTTGTTCTCAGATACGTCAAAATTGAGAAAAATACAAGAATATGAAGATTTGTTGTATTTGTTGCTTTTCAAGCAGACAATGGCAACATACGGGATTCGGAACATATTACAAAAAAACTTTTGAAACAAAAGTTGTAGCAAATTTTATTCTTACCAATATTGCTCTCTTTCATTTTTGCTCTTAGATGCGTCAATATCGAGAAAAGTACAAAAATATAAAAATTTGTTGAATTTTTTGCGATTTCAAGGTATTCATGGTAACATTCAGGAAATGGAGTATATTACAAGAAAACTTTTGGAACGAAAGTTGTAGCAAATTTTATTCTGAAGAATATTGCTCTGTTGCACTTTTGCTCTCAGATATATAGATATCGAGAAAAACACAAAAATACGAAAACTTGATGAATTTGTTGCTTTTCAAGCAATCAATGGTAACACTTTGGAAATGGAGAAAGTTACAAAAAAACTTTTGGAACAAAAGTTGTAGCAAATTTTATTCTTACTAATATTGCTCTCTTTCATTTTTGCTCTTAGATGCGTCAATATTGAGAAAAATACAAAAATATAGAAATTTGTTGAATTTTTTGCGATTTCAAGGTATTCATGGTAACATTCAGGAAACGGAGTATATTACAAGAAAGCTTTTGGAACGAAAGTTGTAGCAAATTTTATTCTGAACAATATTGCTCTGCTGCACTTTTGCTCTCAGATATATAGATATCGAGAAAAACACAAAAATATGAAAACTTGATGAATTTGTTGCTTTTCAAGCAATCAATGGTAACATTTTGGAAATGGAGAAAGTTACAAAAAAACTTTTGGAACAAAAGTTGTAGCAAATTTTATTCTTACCAATATTGCTCTCTTTCATTTTTGTTCTCAGATGCGTCTATATTGAGACAAATATAAAAATATGAGAATTTGATAAATTGCCTGAATTCACAACCCTGTTTCTGACATCTCCTAATACAGTCTCAAAGTATCTTTTATGTTGTTATTGATATATCTCAATACTGTACTCATCAACATCATCTCAACATTCTCAATGCTTTCATCCCATCTCTAGGCTTTCTCAACGTAGTAGCATCTCATATCAATTTCTTATCTCACTTTAATTCCTTAATTGTTAATTTAATAACGTCTATTTTGTTTAAAACCTTTAAGGATGTTCTATAAATCGTAAAAATTTCATGTTAAATTATCTAAAAACATAGTAGATAGTATATTCCGCGATTTGCGAAACCTCCACGAAATAACTTCGAATTTGCCGGGTCGTAAGTAAAATTTAAGTCCGCATCGTGCTGGCAGCCCCGAGGCCCGATATATGGTTTGTCTGGCGTCAACCGAGCTGAGTTATTTATCCGGCCGTATGCAAAAGTGGCCCGGGGGCCGCCCCAGAAAACCCCCCGTTTTGAATCTTCCATGAACCGCAAGATGCCTCCTCTACGTTATGTACGTATATCGGATTTAAAATGTATACGCCACCGCCACCGGAGGCACGGCTAAGGCGGTTATTTTGGAAATTGGAATGGTTGAAACGTGAAATATGCACGAGGTGCCCTCTTGGGATACGTCCATCCTCCTCACCCCGTCTACTTTCTTTGCTTCTTCGCAACCCCCACGTTTATTTTCATTTTCATTTCCTTTTCTTTTTTACTTTCAACTTTTTTATCTTGATACATTCAATTTAAAGTTACATAAAAATTTATTAAATCTTCTAAATTTGTTAGTATTAGTCAAGTTGTATCAACATAAATTTAAGAAGAACTCATAAAAACAAATTTAACATCCCCTCGAGTAATATTTCTTATTGTTAGTACTTTTTTAGTGGAAATTTTTATCTTTCATTTTTTTTGTGTAAGGGGTGAATGTGAGGGAGTGGGAAAATTCGCTTTTTGGCTGTTAGAACGGCGCAAATAAGTCGATTTGTCGCGGCGTTCAACAATCGCACTCCGAGTGGCTTTTATCGTATGAATTATGCACGGGAAGCCGCGAATGAACACGCCTCCACGGGGAGGTTAAGTATTAAATTTGGGGTCGTCCTAATTGGCTTTCCGCTTTGTGGCGCACTTTTATCTCAATTAGAGGGCTCCACAGCTTTTACTAACAACTTTTTCAATTTTTTTTATATCTTAGTCTTTTTCACATAAACATTTTCATTAATATCCCACATTTATTAATGTTTATATCACATTATTTTATTATTACAAATCAAGCCAAGTAAAATTATAACAAAATTTTAATTGTACAAGAATTTTTTGATCTTTTTAAAATTGTTGTAAAGAATTTTTGAAGCAATTTCATCCATTAGCGCCATCTATTAAGAATGTCATAAAAGTAAACGACACATAATACAGTTTACTTCAAATCGAAATCTGTATTACCGACTTCAATGTTGTACTTTAAAACTTCTATTCAAGATGGACAATTAATTAAAAAAAAATTCTTTTCGGGTTTGTTTTTGGGATTTTAGAACGATTTGTATCTCAAATTAAAGCTTGAAATGTTCTCTTTAAGATGGTGTATAATAATTTATATGGTTAATATAAAAATATTGGAGAAAACATGAATTTATGATAGATGAGTATTGGCTCAAAAAATCATAACAACCACATTTAGAGAAATTAAGAAATTATTTAAAATCTCCTAAAATTAGATAAAATCCTCTTTCAAATGCTTTTTAACACATTGTGATGTCACACTTGGTTTTTGAGATACGATTTCTTTAATTTTCTTCTTATTAAATACTTTTTCACTAAATAAATTCTTATTATACACTCTAAAAAAACACAAAATTAAGATTTTATTAAATTCAAAATGATATTGTACCTTGTGGATCTTATTGATGTTCTTTCTGGATAGACACCTTCTTAAATCCTTAAATTTATCATAAATAAAGGAGGGTGTGTGATATTTCCATTGGAAAGGTTTACAAATTTCATTCCAAGTAAGTTAATAAAAATTCTTAAATACATAAGTGCTTAAAATAAGAAAATTAATAACAACATAACCTCAAAAATTAATTTTAACTTTTTACCTGGTTATCTCTAATAATTCGTTATTTGTTCGATTAATTATCATCTTTAATACTTTTAATTTCTTTCTTATTGCGATATAGAGGTGTATCTATCTCGATTATAGTTTTCCAGGGGAAATTCCTAAAATTTTGGATTATTGCTTACATTTCTTTCGGTTTTAATCTCCACCGAATTCGAACGTTTTCTTTTCTTTGTTCCCTGTTTATTTTAATCCATCGTAAAGTAATTATTAATTAAAATATGTTTTTAATTCGAAAGTTTTTAGGTTATGTTGCGATTGAAATGTGACAGTTTGATTTTTATGTAAGTAAGAGAGAGACAATGGTACTTTTTATTTTTATTAATATTAATAAATAAATTAAGATGATTTTAAAGGATTATAAATTCTATAAGTTAAGAGATGTAAATATATCAAATTAAAAGTTTAAATTAAAAAATTCTTCTCAAAAATGAGAAACAAAAATCTAATACCAACTTAAAATGAATCTTCGAAAAATGTTCCAAGAAATACTAAATTATCTTAAAAAACATTTCGAATTAGGTGTTAATATTGATATGAAAGAGAAAAATGTGTTTAATTGTTAGTAATTAGTTTGATTTTAGTGAGCTTTTAATTAAATTTAAAAGATAACCTCAAAACAATTGCCTAATGAGCCCCAAACAAGCATCGCCATTTTGTAAGCGTCCTCTTATTTCCGTCGTTTTTGCAGTTTTTCCAGGAAATTCATGGATATGGAAGGTAAAATTCCGTTTAAAATGTCTTTGACGCAATATGGGGTAAGTTTATTCAAAAATATCCGAGTTTTTATTAATTTTTTATCTTTTTATAGGTTGGATGAACATTCCGGTTGAAACGACCACTAATCCTTAAATTGATGACTTTTAATACTTAATAATGGTTTCGTATCACTTCTGTGTCTCTCCTGGAAGAAAATAAAAGTGAGCAACCTCAAAGATCATGATGTAAAGGCACAAAATAGGTGATGAGCAGAGCCACGACGTTTCGGGCTGGTGATGTCACCATCTGTATAGAGCAGCGAACGGGTTATAGCGTAGTAGTAACATGCTTCTATCCAGCACATCGATGTGTCGCAACGTAATGATACAGGTTGAATACAGGCCCATGTAAAATTTGGAAGGTTCTCTTTGGTGCAGCGTTCAATACGTGTTTGGCTGATTGTCTGACTATAACTCAACCAGTGGTGTGGTATAACTCTACCGTAAGGCGACGAGCCGCCAATGAGTTGCCCGATAACGTCGCCGCTCTGATGATGAGAGATAGGGAGTTGAACGAGGACACTAAATAGAAGAGTATTGGTATTGGGAATGCAGCACCCTGTCTGATTGATGTACATTTTAATTATTTTATTGTATTGTACTTGATTGATCTCAAATAAACGATGAAAATTGCTCTTGATGTTATATCAAATTTTGAAAAATCATAAGCGACATCTGTTATTTAACAGCAAAAACATTGATAGTTAGGTTGCGAACCAATTCTTTATGGGTTCGTAACTCGGCTAAACAAAAACTTGTACCAGGTGATCCAACTAAAATTGATTAAACCATCCCAAAATAACTTTTAGAGGACCCCAGCGACATCTCTTTTTCATTAGTGAAACTAGTCAAGTTACCAACGAATTTTTTGAGGGTTCGAAACTCGGCTAAATAAAAAATTATACCGGGTGATCCAAATAAAATGAATTAAAACGCGCTTTTCTCGCAAAAATTTCTCTATATTTGGATCACCCGGTATAATTTTTTTCTTAGCGGAGAAGCAAACCATCAAAAAATAATTTTTAAATGACCACTAGCGCCATCTCTTTTTCATTAGTGAAACTAGTCACGTTACCAACGAATTTGTTGAAGGTTCGAAACNAGTCAAGTTACCAACGAATTTTTTGAAGGTTCGAAACTCGGCTAAGTAAAAAATTATACCGGGTGATCCAAATAAAATGAATTAAAACGGGATTTTCTCGCAAAATGTTCTTTTTATTTGAATCACCCGGTATAATTTTTTACTTAGCCGAGAAGCAAACCATCTCAAAATAATTTTTAAATGACCACTAGCGCCATCTTCTTTTCATTGGTGAAACTAGTCAAGTTACTAACGAATTTTTTGAAGGTTCGAAACTCGGCTAAGTAAAAAATTATACCGGGTGATCCAAATAAAATGAATTAAAACGGGATTTTCTCGCAAAATGTTCTTTTTATTTGAATCACCCGGTATAATTTTTTACTTAGCCGAGAAGCAACCCATCTCAAAATAATTTTTAAATGACCACTAGCGCCATCTTTTTTTCATTAGTGAAACTAGTTAAGTTAAAAACGAATTTCTAAAGGTTCGAAACTCGGCTAAGTAAAAAATTATACCGGGTGATCCAAATAAAAT